GTTTGTGCAAACGGATATAAGCACGTTTGAACTATCGTCCTCCGGATACGGAATCCGATTTGTACCGCACACGAGCTCAGAAGTCGGATGGATCGAATGCGCATAGGCGGGAGACGGCCGGGTCGGTATGTCGCAGAACGTTTAGAGAATAGGGCAAAATTTCCTCTATGAGCAAAAAATGCTCACGCAGCGGTGGATGCAGCCTCAAGCATGGCCAGTAAACATAAGCAAGTGTTAATTGCTGACGATCAGTTCAGCTTTTCGGGTGTTAGGAAGATCTCCTTAGTCTTCACACTTGGATGAGGCGGAGTCTTTGACGGTCAGGCGGGACATTCGCTTTGCGGCACGCATCTCCTCGTCCTCGTACATATCCATCGCCGTGTTGCGGCCAGCGACGTTGACGTACACGTTCTCGTGCTCCCGACCTTGGAAAAGTGCCTTGACGCGAGGGTCATATGGAGGGTCTCTCTGGAGAGGCTTTACCGTCTGGTGTGGCACAATAGTCTGACCCTCGGTAGGGGTCTTGACGGAGCCATCTGCAGCGTTTGTCATGCAAACATCACCGTCGGTGTCAGCAGAGACTGCTCCGCGCTGAACAGGAGAGCTCATCAGCGAACAGGCCGAGTCGTCGTCGTTGCCTTTCGATTCCTCCGTGTTGACGGCCTCTGTTTTAGCGAAGGTGGCATTTTGGGAGATATCAGGGCCGAACTCGTCGGCGGGGTTGTTGTGTCCAGCGATATTGCCACCAGGGCCGGTGAAAGGCATCGGGCTGTTGGATGGGGTCGACGACAGCTGAACGTAGCCGTAGGAAGCCAACTCCATTCCGAAGCTCTCAAGAAAAGCGTCGGCCTCAATACCAGCCTGCTCCCACTCCTCTTCAGAAGTAAGAGGAATGAAATCCTCCTCCATTGCGTCTCGGTTGACCGGCTGGAACTGTGTGGCATGCTGCTGACCGGAGGGGAAAGAGGTTGTAGAGGTCGGCTGGTTGAGTTGACCGATATTGGGCTGCTCAAATAGAGACTCCGCATCATCCCAAGGCAGACCTGCGGGAGGAGGAGAATCACGACGGACCCGCTTTGTTGGCGGCGTGTGAATATCACTCCAGGGAGAGAGTCTACCGTCGGAGGCCGCGATAGAGGACTGAGGGTGTTGCGAGGAACCTCTACTGGTGTAAGTGCCTGTGTTGGTCTTGGTGCTGTCCTCTCTAGCCGTCTCCAGCTTCATCTTCGTCTCAGGGCGGTATGAATCAAGACAGCGGTTCGAGTCGCGCCGACTGCGACGACTATGTCCGTCGATGGGAGCAATGCTGCTGCTGCGGGAACGGACAGTGCTTCCTCCGGCATTGGCACTCGGGCGGTATCTATCAGTGCAATTCTGAATGAAAGCGGCCCTGTCCACATTAATGTGGCCGTCGCTGCCTCGAGAAGTTTGCTGGACGGACGGGTTTCTGTTTCTTGCACTGGTCACCGCTCCTCCTTGTGTATGCAAGATTCCACCCATTGGAGCTGCAGCTTGATGAGCCAAGCGATCGTCTTCAGCATCCATAGTGGTTTGGTGCGATTGAGGGCCTCCAAGTGTCTTGGACAGAGAGGATCGTCTTGTAAATGAGTCGCTTCCGGGTTCTGCCTTCGAGGATTTTGATTTCTTGCGAGAACGTCCCTTTGATGACGGCTTGATGGGGCAAGCATTTCTGTAGTGCGTTCCGGCTTCACCACAGTTGTGACAGACGTAACTCTTGGGAGGAGGGCTGTCAAATGAGGGATTGGAGTTCGTGTCGCAATCCTGAACGAAATGGCCTGGTGAGATTTTGTCAGCTGGCTATTCAGTCGCTTGATGGTTTGTCTTCATCCGTACCCGGTCGCTCGCAGCGCTTGCACAGGTAGTCGCCGGTAGGGACGGCTGGAGCCGCTGCAGCAGGAGGCATGACGAAGATAGTCTCTTCTTCGTTCTGCGCTGAGAGCCACTCTAAACGTTCGCCACTGACACCGTCGTACTTGGACTTGTCGAAACTGGAGCGCCTGCTCTGTAAATCTGACTGTTGCGAAGCTGATGAAGATAGAGGAGCTCTGGTCTGCAGGAGATGCTCATTGAAGGTTGAGGAAGTGGCTGTAGCAGAATGGGCAGAAGCACGACGAGGCTGGTCAACCAGCTTCTTGAAGTGGATCTCAATGTCGCGTCTGGCGTAGTTGAACTCCCGCTTACCATCTGGGAAACACTTCAGGTACTCATTCTGGTGGTTCGAGAACGAAGCAAGAACCGGTCCCTTGTCGTAGCCTTCGCGGGCCAAAAAGTCACAACCTTCTCTGTAGACAACTGTGGAGTCAAGGGCGGAGTGATAACCAAGTCTTGGAATTTGCAATGTCATCCATTTAGTGTAGATGCCGAGGAACGTAGGCTTGTCAATGACGTGCCGCGAGGATCGAAGCAACTTCCTCTCCAAGCGACTCTGGCTCACATCCTGGAGTTCTCGTGACGTCAAGTCCAGAGCAGCAAGTTTGTCCCGGGACATAGCGAGGATATAAGTGCTTGAACCAGCTGAAAAGGGTATAGAATAGAGCACGAAGGCGCTTCTGAAAGAAAAAATTAGTATTGCAGTTTGTGAAGCTTCACAAGGACTGTGTAGTGAAGGCAAGCTGAAGGTGCGACAAACGTGAAATTAGGTTAAGGGAACGGCGCGTTAACCGCACTGAATGCGGGCAGGATACTCCAGAAAGAGAGGTGTTGTTGTTTGTGAGATTTGAAAGAAAACAACCCCAAATGTGAAGTAGTGCGATCCCAAAAAGTTGGTGTCGAGGGTTGAGTGAGTGAGAGAAGGGTGGGAAGAAGGCGCGTAGTAGGACCTCATGCCAGAAGTTTTGTCAGTGCAGGTAGGAGCCCGACTACAGGAAGACTGCAGTGGAGCGTTTGATACTCCCGAGACAAAAAAAGGTCCAGACGGCAAGGAGCCCGAGGTGCGATTATGCTGCCTACCGAGGCCAGCACTTCCTTCATTAGGCCGAGTCCTACTATCCAGACTCCACTGTCCTCCGTGGTTCCTCCATCTTCAACACCGTCGCGGATTGTCTCTCCCTGACGGTATTTGAAGCACTTTCGCCGATTTCTGGATAACAAGCCACGCCTAGGCTACATAGGGGCAACGAAGATAGCCGCAGCGACATTGAATGATTACCACGGCTATTCATCGGGGAAAGAGCTCACCAACTGCGAGGAAAAGGAAGCATGACGATGCAAGCTCGCAATACGCGTCCATTCTACGCCATGCCTAGGGAATACTAAACACAAATATGCATGCCCTTACCAAGGATAATTCCCTCAAATCAGACTGCCAACTCCTCGTCCTGCAAGGCAATAAACTCGTCATCTCTTCAAAGCCGCAAACCTCCTCTCCAACTCCGTAATATCGGGCACATTACCCCCCGGCCCCTTGCCGCCCGGCTTTTTCTGCGCCGCAGCGTCCATCTTCTTGTTCGGCTTGAGCTCCAGCGAGTTGAGCGTGACCTTGGGGTGAACATTGTCCGTTGTCATCCTGGGCGGAGTGACCGTCAATGGGCTGCTAGGTCCTCCAATCGTCCTCGGTGGCGTCGCCTTGCTTAGCTCCTCCTGTTCCTTGGCTACCTTTGTGCTATTTCCCAACGGACCCTCGGGTATCTTGACACCAATACCGCCGCTCGGGTTGTCGTCGTCGTCATCGTCGTCATCGTCATCCAGCAGGTCAGGAGGCTCCGCGGCCTGTGGCCGTTTCGGCCAGTCGACGTTGTACGCCTTGGCAATCTCCTCCAGGTACCCGACCACTAGTTCCTCCTTGGGTGGGACGACGCTGAGCTTCTTCACCACCTTATCTGACACCTTGCCATCCGAGTTGTCCATGGCTGTCATAACGAACTCCTTGCCATACTTCTCCGCCAGCAGCGTCCGCACGACCTGCAGCTCCTTGATCTCCGTCTTGGGCGCCGCATAGATGATGCTCTTAACCGCCTCCTCCAAGCCAGGGTCACACGTCGAACCTTCGAGAAGCCCTGCGCGTGCTATCAGAAGTTCGCAGTACAGCTCCAGTATCTCGTGTAGCTCGGTCGTGATGTCGGAGCGGATGATATTCTCGACCCGGATGCGCGCGGAGTCAATCTTGCCCACCTCGAGGAGCTGCGCCATTGCGCGTCGTTGCGTCTTGGACAGTTGCTCATCGCGCTGCTGGACCATGCGCAGCCGTGCGATTGCCAGCTTCAGCTGGACCTTGAGCTTCGTCTAATCGGAGGGGGATCATTAGCATTGGGCATGTCGTCATCGCGCCAGAACGGCGGGGTAAATGCGGAATGGGCGGGGACGACTCACGACGACGTTTACAGGAGGGGCCATGGTGTTGCGTGTGTCCGTGTAGTTCGAGGAAAGAGAATGACGACCAGTACAGATTGAATGCGAAAGACGCCACCCTTAAGCAGCGCAAGGCAGACAAATTGAAGCAGGGTGGAGGACAACCTTGGAACTCCGGAAGGGGTCTATCTGCCTTATCTAATCGCGACAGGTAGGTGGGATGGCTGGAGCTCACGCCTCACTGCGGGGTCCCGTTTGTGCCCAAGTGGCATGGACCAGGGATAGGTGGTCTGCAGCAGCCGGGGGTACGTACAGGATTTATGGGCTAGCTGCCCAGGGGAATGCCCAGGAATTACGACTGACAGGTGCCACTCGGGTGCTTCATCCCGGCTGCTACGTATGTCACGCATTTCGGTGTCATGGCCAATTCCATGTTGTTTTCACTTTGAGGATCGACATGATTTTTTTTCTTATTCTTGAATTGCCATGTAAACCTGTCTAGCCTGGCCAGTCCGTCCCGGACCCCAGCTGAAATGCATGCGAGTATGACCCACCAACGCCAAAGTCATTCAGCCCGTCCGTGGGTATCTTTACGTCGTGTCGTAAGAAAGCTCAACCGCGAAATTGACGGTTGCAAATTGAAAAGCCAGTTTGTGTACTTGTGATTGCTCGTGTTCGTCCAGAAAGACAAATCAGAACTGGCGACAGGTCAGCATAGTGCGTCACGATAATTGCAGACAAACGTACGATGTTGAGAGCCGTGTGCTGGGGCAGTCTCGAGCCATTGAGCATAGCTCTGGTCTTCTTGGGGCGCTGCTGGAGACGTCTGAAAGCCTCCTGAACATGGCGCGGTTCGATCGGGGATCTACCCTCACTAGGGGGATCGAAGAGACCAGTCGCGACCTTTCGCTTCTTCGAGCCGGCATTGTCGCCTCCGTTGAGTGCCTTGAACAAGTCCTCCTGCTCCTTAACCTTGAGGGCGTGCTCGGTGAGGGTCTGGACCATCTCGAACGTCAGGAAACCGAGAATGTCCACAATATCGTCAGAAGGCTTGCTGTCGGTGACAATTCCAAAACCAGCCCACTCGCGGAAGCGCTTGCCCTTGCGATAGGTGAAGGAGGCCTGGCGGTATTCGGACCAGGTGACGTACTCCTCCTTGGTCATGGCCTTGGTACGCTCATCAGCCTTTCGAAGGCGCTGAAGGGTGATGAAGTTCATCTCCTCCTCCTCTTCATCCTCCTCATCGTCACGCTCGGGGACCTCTTGACTGTAGAATGAGGACGGCTCCCAGGGAAGGCCGACCTTGGCCTTCTTGTTCTTCTTTGCAGCATCATCGACGGGGCCACCAGGCATCACTCCGCCAGCAGGGTCTTCGCCGGCACCGAGATCCGCCTCACCTCCCTTGTCGTCGGAATCCTTAACATTTTTTCGAACATCCTTCCACGAGAGGAAGGTCCGGAGGCGGGAGACCTTGGCTTGGTCGTGGCGGATCTGGAAAATCAAGTCATTGATAGTGATTGATCGAGAACCACGACGAGCAGCGAGGTCTGTGCAGTTTCTGAGCTAGCAATGGGTTAGGGTGGTAGCGCCGGAAGTGGGTAAAAGCATCAACATACCAGCTCAATAACCTGCTGACGAACAATATCTTCGATCATACTCGTAGTTTCGACAGACGGCTCTGCAGTCTCGCCAGAGACGTACATCATCTTTCGGAAAACGTTAGCGATTCGCTCATGAATTCCACAAAGTCGCTTCTCGCCCTCCTTGAGCGGGGCCAAAGGACGATGTTTGGGAGCTCGACGAAGCCTGGGCTTGGGCTTCTGAAGCTCGGCTCGCTCTTCATTGGTGACGGGGATATCAGAGATGGATTTGAAACCAGATGGATGAATAACGCCGACCGCTTGGTCGAAGGCACTCTGAAACAGCTCATAGGGTTCGCGTTGAACGCGTTCGGAAACTGCTTTGGCTGCTCTGGAGGGGCGCAGGGGCTTGTGTTTCTCCTCAGGTCCCTCGACCTCGCTGTTGCCATCCTCGGGAGTCAGCTGCTCGAAAACGCCAGTTGCATCTCAATACCGCTGACAAGGTCTCTCAAGTGACATCCGACATCCGGAAGGTAGTAGGGAAACCCGAAGCTTTTGAGCCGCTCCATGTCGCCAAGCTGGTGATTTCTGGAGTTTTGAGAGAATTCGAGTATGGGTTGGATTTTCGGAGGGTGCGCTTCCAACAGGAGGGGAAGAAAGTGTTTGGACCCTTCAGGAAGCAGCTAGGTGTCGTGTGTTTGAGTAGCCAAGGCAGGTGTCTCCTTAGAGACATCGTCGGGATTTGAGCCTCGTCCAGCTGAGCCTCGTCCAGCTGAGCCTCGTCCAGCTGAGCCTCGTCCAGCTAACCGGGCTGGCTGGACGCCTTGACGGCGCTGCACTTGCAGCCAGGAGCTCTTCGAAACGGCTGTTGATATCCTTGGCCTGACATATTGGAACAAGCTATCACGAGGCTAGGCCAGCAAGCCTGGGGCCTGGGGCGTCGATGTTTGTTGGTGTGCGCAAGAGAGTCAAAGCGAAGTGAATGCCCAGCAAAGCGATAGAGTGGGTTTCAAACAGCATAATGTTCTAAGCTTACCTGACTGATCTCCTGGCGATATTTATACGCCTTGTCATTCTTTGAGTCCGACATCTTGAAGGTTCGAGAACAGCTTCGACGATGTGGATTTGGTATGTGGTTGAATCGTTATCGAGACAGCAAATTTCCAAAATTTGAGGATGCTGTTATTTGTGCTGGGTTTGAGTATTTTGATGCAATGTCACCGAGGAAAAGAATTCGCGTCGGTGTTCAGAGTGGAACAGGCTGGTCAACTTGGTGCCAAGGGTGAAGTTAAGGTGAGCAACTGCAACAGTGGATTGATTAGGTGACAAGGGCCCGCCCCCAGATTCGGAGGTGAAGTTGGGGACCGCTGGCTGGTACCGGAAAAAGTAATTGCCGTCTCCGTGCTGCGTATGCAGCGCACAGGCCTAAGGGCCCATCCCCTGTCGCGTTGAGAGATCCACCAGGTGCTGTGGAACATACCTAGCTATCCGACGAAATGCTTTCCGCGGCTTTCACCCCGCAAGTCGGAGGAAAACCTCAATCTGTGGCTTCACAACCATTTTACCCTGCTGTATGCTATTTCATATCTTGTCTAACCCTTTTATGAAGACTATTCCGACATATCAGCCACTCAAGGCTCCAGAATTGCCTCGGTGGCTCCGTTACCCAGCTCCCGTGCCTTTGAGAAAGCGGATTGGCCCATCGTCCTGTGCATACTATCTATCCACATGATGGTCTGCAAAGTGGAACGAGCCTCATGCCATGATAACTTTGGATATGCTAGTGTGAACCAGACTGACCGTAAAAATGGCTCGTCAGGTTCAAAGACGGATATGGAGCCCACGATGAGCATCCAGAACAGCAGTTTCTCGTGCACCGGCGTACGTATGATGAAGTTCTTACATGCCATGCGGAATTTCGCAGCAAGGTATGCGTACGGAAACTTTCCGCCCGGAATCTGCAGTGTCGTTGAAAGGAAGGCGAGCATGCCTAGACGAAGACACTCATCTGAGGCATCTTCAAGATCGCCTTGAAGGTGTACGAGGCGTGCCTGGACGGACCCCAAGCAGTCTTGGAAAAGCAGGCCGTCGAGCCGCGAGTTGTTCGCCAAGTGGTTGTTGACCAAACACACCAGGTGTCTAAGGTCTCTAAAGACTACGGCAAGTCTGATATCGGCGAACACTTCGATCAGACCTACCTCGATGGTATTTGTGCGGGTTTCGGGAGATCTTTCAAAGTATGGACCCCACGATACAGGGCCTGTGAAGAAGGACGGAATACCGCCGCTCCCAAGGGCCCACGTGAGAGCAAGCCTGGTCAGTGTCAGAGATTCGCCCTCTAGTGCCCTTACGGTTCGTTATAGACTCACCGATCAAGCTTGAAATGCAACTTGGGAAACCTGTGAAGGTATTCAAGTCCTCCGCGTAGACGAACGATCTGTTGCAGCCCTGACAAGTGTACAGCGGCAGAGTCAAAGTCGCCCCACAAGCTCGCGATCATTGCCAGTGTCAAGATGACATGGAAGATGGCCTCGTTCTCGTGCGAGTTCTTCTGGGACAGGGACTTGTTGAGCAGAGAAATGGTGCGTCGCAAGTGGAATTGCGTGAGCTTTCCTGAAGGCGCGTATTTTGTACGGTCTTGAATCGCTGAGGAGCAGAACAAGATGCTGTGGAGAAAGATCTGATCCTGCAAAATCCAAGAGAAGGATAAAGCTTCTGAATTCGGGGAGCGGGGCAGATTGACGATATGTTCGACGGGGTAAAAAGTCTCCTTTAGTGTGGCAGAGGAAAATACTGAAGACAATGAGATCTGGATACCTTTCGACACGTTGGGGTGGCTTACGTCTAAAGAGAACCTCCTGGGAAGGCCTCTCCAAGTCATCTGCGAACCGCACCAGGGATATGTCGGTGGGGGGCAGAGAAGGCGTCGGGTCTTTCAAGGCGACCAGGTCGTCCTCTGAGCTATCTTCCGTGGTTGGGGGTTGTCGATATTTCCTAGCTCTCCTCGTTCTTGAAGGGTTATCTGTTGAAGACCGAGACGAGTTGGATGGGACGGACCGAGAGCCTCGTTCATGTTCGACTGTTTGCGACGAGCCAGTAGTTTTCAAAGCCTTCCGCGCAGCCTGCAAAGATCTCCGAGACCCTTCTTGTCGGTTCTTTCCCTGCATGCATCGACTGCGAATGACTGATCGGTCGGCGGATCTAGTCTTGCCGGAGTCGCCGACAACTACAAATGCGAACTGATTGGACATGGTAGCTGCGCCGAACAAGTTTAGTAAAAATTGAATGAAGGCGCTGAGCACTACAATTGCCCCGCCCTAGGTTATTCGGGACATGCAAAAGAAGGGTTTCATGACGACTATGATCCTGGGGACTTTGAGCAGGTCTTATGGGATCAGCGGCATTGTCCCGGACATAGGACTACACAGCTCCGACCACATTGTATTCCTCTTTGGGTAAGCGTCCCGCTGTAAGCCGGAGGCGGCGCCGACCAACACCCGACGCTGACCTGCTATTATGCATAGTTTGACACGAGACTGGGCGTGATGGTTATGGAAGCATTACCCAGTCTGTCTTATAGACCGCCGTCAACCTGGACGGGTGCATTGTCCTGTGTGACTCCCACATGCATTTGCCCCTAGAACTCATCGGTTACTCCAGCTCGTGGTTACCTGTTTGGGGGTTTTGTTTTACCTCTTGGGTCTTCTGATAATCAAGGTTACCTCAAGTCGTCTCTAATATGATATTTTGCCGAACATTTTGTGGGATGCACCTGGATGGTAGATATGACCAGTTATAAGAGACACACTTTTCTGCACTTTTACCATTCGTCCCGGTTCTGGATTTTCAAACCGCCACACTCATCTCTTCCTGTTTCGAACAGAAATCTAACATGAAGCTCCGTCCCAGGAAAGCACCGGCGACGACGAACAATGCTTCTGGATCATCGCGTGAGACAGCCAAAAGAGTCACGAAAAAGGCAACGGTACCCCAGAAAAGCAGATCTGCGAACACGAGGGATGCGTCACGTCGTAAGCTACGAATAGCCCCCAGTCGCCGCGGGCTGAGATCTCAAAAGAACCAGTTCTGATTGATGGACTTGCCCATGGAACTCCGGTTGATGGTCCTGAAGGAGATGACTGCCAGTCATGGCAGATCACTCCTCAAGCTATCCACAGTCTGCGTCCAATGGCGGCGAGAGTTCTTTGAGAAAATCATATTCACCAACGTGAAACTCAAGTCATTTTCCGACATAAATTGGTTCGACCGAATGATGACTGGAAAGCGAAAAAGTCTTCTACAATCGATTTGGCTTCATGTAGAGTTGTGGACATACAATTGCGTTATTTGTCAAACGGAAGAGACCGCCGCCGAAGCGGCAGCCAACAGCAAAATCTTCAGTACGCGTCTTCTACAGCTTCTCGACATTCTCTCAACGTGGGATATCAAAGAGAATCTTACGCTTGAGCTGAGTGCCGCATTCCCGAGTGATACGAGTCACTGCTTTGGACCGTTGATTGGCGGACAATTTTCATGGATAGACCGTAGTTTTCACAAGGCTTACTTCACCCAAGAGCGGAAATACGTTGGCTCTCAGCGGCGGAGAATTGGAAACCTGCTCGATTTCGACGTCGGCAACCGAGCCACAATCCCGGAAATTCGAGAGATAAAGAAATTCGTGATTAACCGCAGATTTCAGAGAAGCCTGTCATCAGGCGCTCTGATGACTGTATTCCGGTGTCTTCCCTACCTCGAAGAGATAGTTTATGAGCCATCACGCACAGTTGATTTCGCAGACGACATCGCCCGGATCTCGGCAATCAAAACGTTGTTTAGAATGCTGCCGCGAACGGTGCAAAAGCTTGAACTCTGGGAGAAAAAGAATTTCAACAAGTACACGTTCTTCGGCAAACGAGACACATAATCTCTCGCGCTGGTGGCGGCCCAAAACGCGCGTTCTCTTGTGGCTTTTGACGCATCAAACTTGTTCAAAGCACACGAGCTTCTTCGAATAGCCTCCTCGTACGGGCCGTGGTCAAGGATGAAGTCTCTAACGTTGAGGTCTGAATCCCGTGAACAACCGGAAACACTGTTTTGTGATGCAGCTGCAACAGCCATGCACATGCCTAACCTCCAAATCATGGACATATGGGCTGGCAGTCTAGGGTGGGGGTATTTGTTTCGTTATGAAGTGCTAAGCGGGATAGCCGAGATCTCATTCGAGGCTCAATTCCTGTTTGACTTCAGCCCTAAAACATGTCGTGTGTGGCGAAGTGTGGCAGAACAACGCAGACTGAAATTTGAGGAAAGAACTCTGATTCTCGACAAAATGGAGTTGTGCACACAAGAATCTGTGAGAAGTCGGTTGCGTAGCTGTGAACTATTATTATAACACCGCGTGGCCCATTTTCATGGCACACGTACCTTGCCCATCGTTCCCGCCGGAATATGTTGGTCAGTGATGATGAGCACAGGTATGATAGATGTAAGGGAAAACATGAGACTTTCAATAAGTCTAACGGGTATTGAACAGAAAGTAGAACAAGAAAAGGAGATGCAGACGCAGGAGTCGCGCCTTCAAGAGGTGACCTGGCGACTCTCCTTTCTCTTATGTACATACAAGACACCAGCTAGATGCTGTCCTCACGGCCGTGCGCGCGCCCATGCCCTTGAATCCCTCAGCCTTGCCCTGTCCAGATTTTCCCCATGGTATGTTGTTTGCCCCCCTTCCGAATCGTACATAAAAAGGACCATTAAATGTGCTCAGCATCGTGGTTGCAGAGCTAAAGAACATGCAGAGTCGCCGCTGAGCCTGACGAGGGTCTTTCCGAAGTCGTAATTTGTCCAAAGTTATTCGCCCCATCCAATGTTATATCAGATAGGAGCGGGATCTTCGACCATCTCTGCATCCTCGGCGTTGGCAACGATCCCGTCAGGACCCTCGCCTTCAAACACCTCATCTCCCTCGTATGTTTTTCTCTTCCAGCCGCAGGGCTCTGAAGGGTCCTTGATCCACTCCATGGTAGGGAAGTAGTGCTCGTTCTTCTTCATGGTGATAACCCACGGCACGCTGTCAAAAGTGACGGCCTTCAAGCGGAAATCTGCTGCTGTGTTAGTCTTGACTTTACGTACATACTGGTAGGACACTCACAGGTGTTGTCTGGAATCTTCTGGACGGTGGCAAGGAAAGATTCCATGTTAGGCGTAGACTTTCCGTTGACGTGGGTGATGAAGTTTGTGGGCGCAAGGCCGTACTGGTACGAGGGCGAACCTCGAGTGCGAGCCGAGACGTAGACCTCGCTGTGCAACTTGCTGATCTGTTGTCTAACGGCATGGTGAGGGCGGTGCAGGATGGCTCCGCAGAAAGAAATAGCATGATCTGTCTCAACGTCATCCGCAGCCACGGTGTGAGCCTTGATGTGAAGCTCTTGGCAGTCACGGACAATGACAGCGTCCAAGACCTCGTGAGAATACATGATATCGAGCTCGGAAACCTTGGTGATGACCTTGCCGTTGAGAGTGAGCAAAATGTCACCTTCCAACAGGGCACCAGACTGTTGATCACGCTCAAAAGTCCGCTTGCTAACCATGAACAGTTGGTGGTGTGTCTTGTTGGCTTCGGTGACCTTTGTCATCCAGTCATCAGAGACGCCCATGACTCTGGCCTGAGCCATGCCAATGGCCCTGAATTCAACCGACAGCATTCTCAGCTTCGGGACGAGACCCTGTTGAATCTGGGAAACAACAGATAGCAAAGTGGGGGTGGCCAGTCCAAGGTGGTACTCTTCGTCACGGTTAGAGCACGGCGAGCGCTCGCCCAGGTAAGTGAGCCAAAGGGCTTGAACGGTGCCGTCGTCCGCGACGAGAACACCGCTACCACATTGGTTGCTCAAGCTGGTGTCAACAGTAATGGCATCAACGTTGACAGCACGGTATCTGGGCGCGCCGGAGTTGGCCGGGATCGCCACAGCCGTGACTTCGGTGACAGTCGTCGACGCGTGGACAATCTTGCCGATTCTGTTGTATCCCATGAAGTTGGTCGAGGCTCCCTGCGAGATGTTCTCTGTGCTCAACTTGGCGCTCTGAACAGGGGCGTCGACCAGCTTGGGGTCATACTGGACGATGGCGTAGTTTTGAAGCGGGTGCAGGAAAACCACCTTGCCCTCGACAATAATAGAGTCAGCAATGGTGATAGTCACGTCGCAAAGATCGTAAGGCACAATGGCTCTGGAGATGACGACGAGACCCTTCTCAGCGTCGATGACCAGACCCATGCCCCATTTTCTGTTCTTGGGGAAACCGTCAAGCTTGACAGGCATGGTGCAGTTGACGTGTACGAAGCTTCGTACCAGGTCAGCAATGGCAGGGTGCTTCACGTTCTCGAGCTGGATGAAGGACGCTGAGCGGGCAACCGGCGGAACGGGAGGAAGGGGGTCGGCGAGGTCAGTGAAGTCCCACAGACCTGTCTCGTCGTTTCTGACCGCCATCTTCATCTTGGCTGACCAATGCCTATCGACATAGATGACTGTCGTGTTGAGAGTGTGCAGATCGCGCAGATGCTTGTATGTGACAACAACTCTGGACTTGTCTGGGATGGTCTTCATGACTTCGATGAAGCTCTCCAAGTCAGGTGTCTTCTTATGGTCCACACTTTGAATCAACCAGCCGTTATCAGCGCTGTCAAACCTGAAAGATCCAGTGGCTTCGCAAACGAAGACTCCTTGGCATGCAACACCGTAGAGACGAGCTTGTTGGTAGGACAAGCTGTGGAAGCTGGCGCCGGCAACGGAAACAAATCGATCAGGGGTGATCTTGTGCAGGTCGCCGACGTCAATGTCAACCTCAATATCCTCTCCACCTCGCTGGATTTGGAGGCGAATAGACTTGCCAACGTTGGAGTCGAGAAGATCATCCAAACGAATGAACTGCGTGACCATCTCTCCGTTCACCTTGATGAGAATGTCGCCCTCCTCGATCTTGCTGTCGGACTGGCCCTTTGGAAGCACAATTTCTGCAACAAGCATGTTGTTCTCCTTGGGGAAGGCCTTGCGAGCAGCAGCCTCCCATTCGGCGGTAAGACCGAGACGTCTGCACTCGTCAAAAGGCTTGAGAAGGAATTGGCATTGGATGTCACCTCTCGTGACGGGCTTGCCTTGCTGGACACACTGCAGGGCTCTTAATGGGCGGTCCAGGGGTAGGAAGTAATCTGTTGAGGCGCCATCGGAACGTCCACCAGCTTGCAGCGCAACGGCAAAACCATCGATGTTGACCACCGGACTGCCCGAACTGCCACCACTCGCGGCGGCGTTGGCCTGGTAGTAGCACGTGTTGAAATCGCTGTAGCCATCGCCGTACTCGGGCGCGTTGCGATCCAACCGACTGATGAATCCAGACAAGATACTGAGCTTCTCTCCAGCATCGTTACCAACGACTCTGATCTCGACACCCACTAAAAATACGTCAGTGCCTCCACTTTAAAAATGCGTCGCCCATCAGGGTGTCTGCCTACCCTTTGCAAGATCCGGTCGCAACTGCAGCGCGTTCAATTTCATGTACTTGACGGCCTTGGGATCGAATCGCAGGATACCGAAATCGTGGACAGGGTCACGGTAGACTGGGTACGCATCGACTTCTTCGTGGTTGTCGAAAACGATGTATCCCCAAAAGGGACCGGATCCGACGACGTGTCGATTTGTCAGGATGTATCTGTTGGGCCATAAAATTAGCATGCCGCCTCAATCCATCTTAGGTAGTGTCATGACGTAGTCTTACCCCTTCTGTGCGTCCACCACGAATCCAGTCGCCTCGCTGGTCAACGCCGGGTCTGTGTCGAAAGAGCAGGTCTGGCAGAAGCGAATAGAGACGACGTTGCTCACGACATTCTCAATGGTCTTCTGCCATACCTCGGGCTCTTGGGAGATGGGGAACATGCTTCCCATCATGGCGCTGTCCTCCATGCCAGAGTCCTCTTCAACGAAAGCCGAGTGTTCAAGCTCGATCTCGGGAGTGTTGTCGCCAGCGGACAGCTTGCCATTGACGGCGCGATGCTGCTTGTGCGGTCGCAGACCCTCGGGGCTTGTGGGCGCCTTGCGCTTGGAGCGCGGAGACGCGTTGGTGCCGTTCATTTCTGCGATCGGGGGGGTAGGTGTTGATGGATTGGAGGGTTGGTTTTGCTGCGCTGTCGACGGAGGGTCAGGTGCGATGGCGCCGGCAGCGGACGAGGTTGTAGAGAAGGGACGGTGGAACTGGCCAAGAACGGTTCGTCGCGTTGTCTTATAGCAGATGGTTCTGGGAGAAAGGGCCAGAGTAGTGCGGGAGCAGCCGTGTTTGGCGAGCGGGAGCTGGTGGTGCTGGCGTCTGAGCAGCTGGTTGAATGCGAGGGTGGAGGAGGTTGTCCAAGGTGTGACCGGGGTGGTTGCGGTGGTTCTGGATGCAAGATTCAAGGAAGTCACAGTCCCTCTGCGGACGAAGACGGAGCGCATCCAGTGTTGAGAAGGATGGCGGCGGCAGGCAAGCCTTTCACAGGCTGCTGGCAAGTTCCTGTTCCCGTTGGAGGGGGGAGACCTTCAGCGAGCGACTGGAAGCGTTTGGAAATTGAACTCCTGGCTCGGCAGGGAGACAGCCTCAATCCACTGAGGCTCAATCTTTGATGCAATGTGATATCCCTTGATCCAGAGACAATTGAACAAAGCAGGCCAACACAGTCTTGTCGGCCGTCGAAAAATTTCGGGATGCGAGAAAACGGGAAGGCAAACAGGATGTGGCCACCACCCAAATCCAGATCACCAGGCTAGATGCATAAGAGCCCGCTTATATGGGTGCAGAGGGTGCATGTCCCGGGTGGGTTGGCTGCCCCCTGCCCCGGCTGCTGATGTAATGTGACACTAGCGACCCTCCCCACGACAGTAGCCTTCGCTAAGCCGGCCTGCCGCTGCGGCAATGTCCTGCCTAACAATCTTGACAGAAGGACGTCGACGGGTGTGTGCCTGGCCGCAGCTAACATGGGACGGTGATGGATCATGCTCTCCAACTGCACACCATCAGGGGCAGCTATCCAGACTGGATGAATATGCAGGTCTCACATTCTGCTTGCACGAATGACCAGCTGGGGTACACCTTGATCTGGAGACCGCCTCGGCCCATTTGATTCGTCAAACGCAAGTCCCATCCACGGCTGGGCGACCTCTCTCGCCTCCATCAACGCCCACCCCGGCGATCAACATTTTCACAGATACGAAGTCAGCGATCGTTTTGTGTGCTCATTCCTCTTCTGATTTCGTGGCCGCAACCTTTGACGAAGTGTGTCTAACCTAGGCCTGGGTTCCACATCCGCAAGATAACGCTTCCCGCATCATGAAGCTCATTCAAAAAGGACCACGTAGACCAGTCATCACCAAAAGGTCCTTCCAACCCAAAGATCGCATATTGATACGCTTCAGTGGCTTCCTACTTTCCGGCAATTCGTAGGCACCCTATCCGGAAAGGACGATGTTCGGCTACTGCTCCTCCTCGACGTTCTCCTCGGCCTTGGCCTCGCCGTCCTCCTCCGCGGCCTCATCCTCGACCTTGGGGGTGCTTTTCTTGGGAGCGCGACGCTTCTTGGCCGAACCCTCTGCTTGCCAAGTCAGCTTGCTTGAATTTGACATGAAAGGTAGATGTAGACTTACCACCAGCGCTAACAGCGCCGCGCTTCTTAGGGGTCTTGACGGGGGTGCCATCCTCGTCGCCCTCGTTAGCCTCATCGCCGCTCTCGCCATCGGCAGCACCGGCAGCTTTCTTGGGCGTCTTCTTGCGAGCTGTAGACTGTGAGCAATAGGACTTTTGAAGGACTGAGAAAACCCACCCGCACGGGGCTTGGCCGGGGTAGTGACGGTGCCGTCACCGCCAATGTTGAGGTCCCGGATCTGGGCCAGAACGGTGGTCCACTGGTGTTGCAAGGCCTTCTGCGTGCGGCCGGGCATGTTGACGTTCTTCCAATCGACGCCCTTTCCCTCAGGGAGCACACTAGCGAGGACGCGCAAGAGGAGCTGGCTCTGAAGACGACTGTCAGTATTTGATCCAGACATGAAAACGGAGACGGAGACATAGGAACAGAGGCCCAACTTACTCTCTCAGCCTCAGTCCAGGCGCCAGCTCGAGCGCCGGAACCCTCACCACTGTCGGCAGTGGCAGTGTTGGCGTTCTTTGAGTCAGCCATGGTAGGTTGTAGTTATTTCCTGGATAGCTAGAGTGTTGGTGGGATAGATTGTGTGAGAAAGGTGAGTGGTGATGATGTTGCGAGGAGAAGAGTTTGGAGAGGACGTGGGAGGAAGGCAGAGATTTAAATAGAAGAGGAGTAACGAAAGCAGCTTGCTTCAGGTTTCCAGAGGGAAGGAGGCGGGTCTCATTGCCCAAGGCTGCTCTCGCTGTGCAGGTTGTTGACTGACATCGTGGTGACAAGAAGTTCACAAGGCGAGAAGGGCTTGAGACTGTAGCTTCTCCGAGAGAGAAAGACGCAGACATCTAGACAGACAGCAATACTTTGGGTGCCTTAAGGCGAGAACTGAGTTGAAAGGGTAGAGGAGAACTGCTACTGGTTTCACGGTCAGTATACTCCTACACGCGAATAATCTGCTAATCAAAGTTGATACCTGCCTCTGCCAGGCAAGGGGCATGATACACGCAGGCTCCTTGGGTCACAGAGACTGTCTCTGGCAACACTTGCGTGGGTGAGATGACTGGCTGTGTGACTTCCCTTCTTTCGAAGTGGTTCTGTAGCCTAGCTCGAGGTAATTGTCCCCTTCACATCAAAGAGCACTCAAGCAAGGCAAGAGGGTGTTAGACAAAGGCAAGAAACACTAAGACTGAACGGGAAACTTCTAGTCTCTAATAGACAGGTTCAAGAAGTAAACGACGGACTTATTGACATCTTGTCAGGAGTCAGCTTCATAGAACGACAGACAGGGCATGAGGAAGGAAACCGGGGGTTTGAAAGGATTTCCATGCTTCGACGCTATCACTAGGGGATAAGAATTACAGCAAGATCATCGCGTGGCTCTGACCTGTGGAAGCAGCGGGCCCAGTAAGCAGAGCTCTGCTGCCAGACACGTCCGTCCATCCAGGAGTGGTGAACGCGCCAAGATCGCCGCGGCCTGGAAATAACATGAGAAGCAAAGGTAGGGCTGATTCCATGGCATTAATTTCTATGTTTGTCTCCTTCCTATCTGGCTGCCCGCGAGTACCAATCCTGCCTCCAACATCCTTCGAAGACGACCAAGTTTCTAGTAAGTATTACACAACCCATTCCAAGCTAGCCGAGGCAGAGAACAACCAAGGCTCGGCGTATCATCGCCATATCTGAGTTTCCAGGGTAGCGTAACCGTTCTCCATCAAATTGAGGGACCCAGGACCGAGTGCGAAGAAAGGAGACTGCGAGATGTAAAGCAAATATGAAGTGTACACAGGCAACACACCCCCCGTCTATGTCGTAATGAATTGTCGCCACACGTCGGCGACCGAACGTATGTGCAATGCGGACTTTTCAGTCGCAAGAAGTGAGAGACAGGTCGAAGCGTGAATAATATCCTCCCAAATGCCGGGTATCGTTTCGTGTCGTTTCCCATCAGTCCAAGCTGTCGTCAAAGTCGAAAAAAGCCCATCTCCTAGGCAGAGAACAAGGATACAGTCCACTCCTCTCAAGACATGGCTTCTCCATGTCATTCTTCATTTCATCTTGCTCTTATATAGCATGAACTCTCGGATGCGTGCTTCGTGGTCCTCGCATGCCAAAGCCCATTTTCTCCGCACCTCCTTGTCCTGTTGCATCCAGTCAAGGTACTCCATCAGCTCTTCGTCGCCACGAGAGGCTATGAAGTCGTAGCCCTTGCGGGCTCGAAGATCGGCAATGTTTGTCTTGCGGGCGTTGAAATGCTCGATAACCTGAGCGTTGAAGATTTCCCATCTGAGAACATAGCTTTGAAAGTCTTGGATGTACTTTTGCCAAGCCCCGCCCGTTGGCTTCAGACCGACCGCAAAGGTAGGAGGAGGGCGCGGTGCCACGGGCACCACCGGAAATTCAAGTGCCGGCTTCTTTTCTTTCTCGATAGGAATGCTGCTAGATGGCTGGCTTTCGAAGGGAAGGTTCATCTTGAGGTCACCCAAGGAACCAAGTCCGGAAGCAGTTTGCGCAAACGGCGCCACGTTCTTGAGATCTGCAAAGCTGGCCCTAAACTCTTCACTGTCCTCAGAGCCTGCGGCGTTGGGGTTGAAGTCAGGCTTCCGCACTGTAGACTTAGGTGCGGTTTCCGTCACTCCATTGACGTTACCAGGCCTCCATTCCGGGCGAGAAGGCTCAACTGGGATGTTCCTCGCGCCGTTTGACTGAGCAGCATTCGGTGCGCCTCCGGCCTGTGGGGGATCAATATCCATGGCGTTCGGGCTCTTCGCACCAACTGGCTCTGCAGTAGTCTTGCGGCCTCGCCAATCACCATCCTCATCACTGTCATATTCATCGTTCACCAAGCCGGCGCTACCAGCCGTGGGCTTCACCTTTGCCTTGCGGGAGTTGGATCGGGTGGTGCGTGTCGGGGAGGTAGACACGGACGGAGCAAAGTTTTGGGCGCCAATCTGCTGGGTCCAGTCCTGAGCATCAAATTTACCTTCGGACGAGGGCGATCCTGTAGGCTGACCGGCAAAGTCCTTCTGGTGTCGCAAGGTCGGACGCTTAATCGGTGATCGACGACCTACGCGGCTTCCAGACTGAGAACGACCCTTGGCGTCATGAACAGGGCTTCCGGCACTGAATTGGTAGGCCTCAGATCCATCTTTGTTGACAAACCTGGTGTTAATATCGTCTGTGCTTCGCCGGCTGATTGAAGGTTGCTCAGGTTCGGTACGAGTGAAGGTATCATCGTCGATGGAGAAGTTGAAGCTAGTAGAGTCACTTCTGTCAGCTTGATGCACTGGACTGGGATTCTGTTTTGAAGTGATGATCTGGCGCTTCTCGCGTCCAAGCGGGGTTAGTTCCGGAGCTTGTCTCTTAACCAGCCTACTCAGAAGCTCGCCCTGCTTGCGCTCAAATGGTGTAAGGGAGTGACTTCTCAAGCTATCTCCACTGGGAGAAGATGACGCAGAGGACGACGTTTCGCTTTTCTGGCTCTGATGCTGTTTCGTCGGCTCCTCCCAAATTACGGGCGAAGGCTGCTTGCCGTATGTAAAATTCGGCTTGACATATGAAGCGAAAGAAGAAGTTGAATAATGAGAAGTGCCGTACATTGAAGATGCCTGTTGCTTTCCTGCAGACTTGGTGTTTCCATGTTCTGGACTATATTAGCTGAGCTCCGTGAAACCAACACTCATCAACTCACCATCAGTAGCCGTTGCTGGCTTGGGGTGACCGCCATCTTGAGCAAAGCCAGGGTTCGCATTCGGCGGCGTATATCTCGCGCTAGCTCTGGATCTGAAGGGGTCCTTGGGTGAGTTAGCTGCCGTAGCGGTCGCGGTGTTCGGTCGGTCGTCTTGTGGCGTCGAGGACGTTCGAGGACTTGAAGGCTCCGTTCTGGCCTGGCGCGGAACACTCTGTGCACGTTGACGAGCACTTCCAGGTGATAGGTTAGGCCCGAACCCTTCCTCGGGCTGCCGAGGAGTTTCACGAGTGCTCTTGGCTCGTCCGATAGGCACCCCATCGAACGGGTTTGTCTTCTCTCCTCCGTGCGAGGAGTAAGGTGTGCTCTGCCGACTGTCTGCGTAGCCCTCACGGAATTGGGCAAGAGGGTCTGGGACACCTTGTCTGCGGGCATTGTCGGCGAAGATGTTGGAGTGACGGTTGGTCGTGGAGTAATTGGAGGCGTTGACCGGAGGCTCGTCACCAGGAACAGGCGAGTGAGGCACATAACCTCCCTTGCGTGCTCCAAAGGCGGCCTCTGCTCGCTGCTTTTGGGAGGGTGTTCGTGGCACAGGTCGCTTAGGGGGCTCCGGGGGTTCGTTCTTGGGCTTTGGTTGAGACTGGCTCGCTTTGCCCCTCATGTTCTCGAAGGCATGCCAGGCATTCCGTTTCGCCTCTGGGTCACTCTGCTGCTGGGCCTTGGCCGTGGGAGCCGCACCCGAGGCAAAGTTGCGGTACCTATTCGCTCCCGACGACGGCGGATTACGAGCCGTTGAGGTGGCATTGCGACGAGGCGGAGGCGGGAAGTTGGAGCCGGCGTTCTGCCATGGATTGCCCCTCACTCCAGAAGCAGTTGGGTATCTCGATCGAGTTCTTCCAGCATCGTACTTGGCTCTCGAGTCGGGATCGGTCAGGACCTCGTGGGCCGATTGAATCATCTGAAACTTGGAGTTGACTTCGGCTTCTCTACCCGGGTTTCGATCGGGGTGATACTTGAGAGCTAGCAGAAGTCAGTATGCCGGACGAGGAGGCATGGACGGGGAAGACGTCGCCGTACCAAGTTTCCGGAACTGTTTCTTGATCTCGTTCACGTCGGAGTTCGCTGGAAGCTCCAGGTCCGCGTAGTAGTCGCGGCTCATGTCAACTCCCCCCATCCTGGCGGTGGATAGAGGTTGTCAACTGCTAGCAAGGTGTGAAGGCTGCCTGATTTTGCGCAAGATGCATCCCAAGGTCGGTCGTCGTGTATGGAAACGATGTGAACGTCGTGCTGAGGAGCGAGTTTTGTTGAAATTTCCTAGTCGCCCAAAGTTGGATCCAGCTCGTTCGATCGAGTGCTCGTGGCTGGCAAGCTATTGGCAGAGTGTGCGTTGGGGAAGGCGAAGTCGCAGGCGTGACGTTGCCGCTTGCAGGTGGCTTCGCCTCGTAGTGCGGAGTAGCGCAACTGCAAGTTTGCGTGGACGAGGTGAGGCGGTGCAACTGGCAAAGGGGCAACCTCGTTGAATGGTTGTCAAGTGCGATCGCTGGTCGTGGAAGATGAGGGAAGGTGCAGACGAGTAGAGATCTATGGTAGCAAGTGTGTCAGCAGTTATGTCACAAGACGAGCAGCTTGCGACAGAACAGTGGTGGTATCCGCGAGTGAGAGGTGTCGTACGAAGCGAATCAGACGTGTCAGACTAGCAAGCAGCCGTGCAATAAGCGGGCGAGCAGTCTCCAAATGGACGCCACAAACGGGAAGGAGGGGCAATAGACACCGCGAGTCTAGGAGTCTATTATGTCTCGCAGAACTGCAGACAGCAACAAGGATTGGCGTCGATGCTAGATGACAGAGCCAGGCA